CCCCGGGCCGCCCCGCCGCACCACTCCTGCCATGGCCGCCGCCGCACTGTGCGCCCACGCCCGCACCAGGTGCGGCCCCGCCCCGCCCCGCCCAGGTGGGCACCGCCCACTGGGACCGCCCACCGGGGCCGAGCCAACCGGCTACGCCCCTCCGCCAGGTGCTGGGGAGCCCCGCCCCTTCCCCGGCTCCATTGGCCGCGCCGCCTGTCTCCTCAAGGAGGGGGCGCGCCCCGCTCCAGTGACTGGCCGGCTCGGCGCCGCAGCGCCGGCTTGATTGGCTGAGGCGAACGGGCCGCGCGAGCGACAGGTGTGGAGTGGGCGAGGCCTACCGGCCAATCAGAGAGAGCGCTTTAACTTCTGGCCAATGGGCGCGCTTTGCGTCCCTCGTGGAGGCCCTCAGGCGGGGACACGGGCGTTGCCATAGCGACGGGGCCTGCGGCCTCCTCAGGCTCCCGAGGGCTCCCAGTGACCCCCCCCAGTACCCTCCCCCTGCCCCTGGTACTCCCACAGAGCAATCATGGCACAGCAATGTCACACCATGACATCAAAGTGGTGACATCATGGCACAGTGACACAACAGCACACTGACAGCACAGAGACAGAGTCCCATCATGTGGGGGAGTATGTCCCTGGGCAAGGGGGGTGGGGGGCTCAGGAGGGAACGGGGGATCCCTGGGAGCCCCCACCCCAGTAACCAGAGGGCCCCAGGCTACTGCAAGGTGGAAGGACAGGAGGGGTCAGGAGGAGCTGGGGGGGGGCCTGGGTGCCCCCACCACCATGCTTGAGGGTCCTGGGGGAGCTGGTGGGTGCTGCAGCAAGGTGTGTGGGGGGGGGTAGGGCAGATTTGGGGTCCTTGGGAGCCCCCTCCCAAGTGCTTGGGGGTCCCCGGGGTGCTAGAGGGTGCTACGAGGTTGGGAGGGAGAAGGGGAATAAAGTGTAAGACCTGGAAAAACAAATCACTATTTTTATTTATTTTCGCTTTTTAAATTCAGAGAGTTTTAAAAAAAAGTCTGCCCCCGCCGGGCCGGGCCAGCCGCAGC